CTTTAGACGACACGTACCTGAACGCTGTTGACGGCAGGGAGGCGTTTGGGCCGGAGAAGAGGAGGCCGAACATTCATGGATGTGTAAACTGCTGTATAATAAAGCAATTTGATTGATCTCTGCTAATATTTTCCTTCTTGCGTGTGTGTGGAAATTTCAACGAATATTCTGTGTGTGCACTTGTGAGCTCTTCAGTGACGATTGCATGTAAGATCATTGCACGGTAGGTACACTAACATAATTTTTATTCCAGTAGAGCAAAGAAAGATGTGTGTTTTCAAACATCGAATTGGATTTTCAATGCAGGAAAGTGCTTTCAGTACAGATTTCTTAATCTAGGAATGAGGAGTCAATTCGTAGATCACAGCTGTTCGGTATTGGAATGATACAAATACAGAATTAGGATAGCCCCTGTGCAAAGGATTACACGTGCGAGTCTAGGTTACAAGTGTTGCTGGGGCAGCTGCTGGCCCTGGGTACCCCGGGCATGCAAAAGATCCTGCCCTTTCTTTTTTTTGGGCGGTGACCCTGGTGAGGCATCTCAGCGCCCACTGAGTTCTGCCCAAGTGTGGGCTCCTTTTTTTTTCCTTTTTTTTTGGTTCCCCCACAACACAGGCTGTTATGGGTCTGGCTCCATATCCATTCTGGGGAGCGTCAGTCCAGTTTCTTTTCCACCAGCAAGTGATTGACTGTCAAAACCCGTTCTTCTGAAATCCCACTCCTAGTCTCTGCCTAGGACCGTTTATTCACCAGTTCCAAGCTGTCCGCCAGAATTTCTCGGGAGTGTCAGTCCGGCTCCTTTCCACCAGCGAGTACCGCCCATGATATTTCAATCCCACTAGCCGCATCCTTGCTCCTTAATAGAGCATTGATTGTGTGTTCTTCACAGATGCCATGTGAGCTGCCTCTGTCGGAAAGGTGAGTAAACCAAGAACGCTGAGGAGAGAGAGCCGATAGGGAAGCCAGTAGTTGATAAAAAAGGGGGCTCTAGTTGTGAACCCTTATTATATCCCGACTGTCAACCTTTAGAACTCTTGTTTGGAAGGATGATGCTCTTCAAATGCCTGGAAGACCAATGCATATTTGCTGGGCGTGAGATGTTCTTCAAATCCTGATATTGTATTCACAATGCTGAAACATACATATTACATACCCATTTGATATATATGCACAGTCGTGCACGTGTGCGTTGTGTGTATGTGTGTGCTGACGTGTGTTTGTGCGCGTGTTTCTTTTGCAGGAAGCTTCATCGTAACAGTATTTTTAGTAACATCCCAGAGGAACTAGGGAAACTTGACAAGCTAGAAACATTGTGAGTTGAGACTCTTGAGACCTCAGGGGTTTGTGGGACCTATGTATCCCCGCCAGTCACGGTCATGACCAGGGGCCGGAGGGTGACCGGGCGACCGGGGCGGTCGGCTGCGGGCGGTCACAGTTTGGCCGCACCCTCCCCGTATTATTTTTGATGTAAACGAAACAAGCAAAAAAAAAGGGGTTGTATGGCTCTTCGAGCTCTGCAACCCCTTTTTTCTTTTTGAAGTTGAACTTTTTCCCGATTAAAAAAAAATAAAAATAAAAATAAAATTAGAACCTGTAATGACCCACCAAAACACAGACTGAGAACACTGCTGATTTCTGGGATTTGCTGCTGTAATGTATGCCATGCTGAGATTCCCGCATTCTGCTGTGATTTCTTAGTCTGTGTGTGTGTGTGTGTGTGCGTGTGTGCCTGCTGGTCTGTGTGCCTGTCTGAGTGCTTGTCGGCCTGAGTGTGTATGTGACACGCAAGGGTACTTGTTGGTTGAGAGGACCTGCAAGGGTACTTACTACTTACCTGTGGCCGTGACTTTGAGAGTTGCAGCGGGGAAAAAACACTCAAGTAGCGGGGGTAGGCCCGCGACACTTCGAGCAGTGGAAAAAACACTCAAGTAGTGGTAGAAGCGTCGGGTACTGGAGGCCGAGCAGAAGAAGACAGAAGTTGGCATTTTTAAAGGCCCAGTAGCGGTAGGCTAGAAGTAGGCCAGAAAAAACAAATTGTCACTAGAACTAAGACATACTCAACTTGGGACGCTGGTGCCTAAGGTTAGCGCTATCTTGCGCTAATTTCGCGCCCCGGTTACCTCAGCGCCCCGCAGGGGCCTTCGGCACACAGAGCCTCAACGCGTCAGAAGCGATTTTCCCGCGCCCAGTTGTTTTCAAATCTGGACGGGAAAACCGAGCAGGGGAGGCGAGGAAGGAGGGAGGAAACATCCATAGCCTAAGTCATCATCATCACCACAGACAAAGACAACAAGACCACGACATCACACGAGAAGGAAGTGACGAGCAAGAGGGAAAGAAAACAAGGCTCCATGAGTGAGAAGACCAAGAACAAGTGATTAATGAGTGTCTCAGAAGGGAAAACAGAGTAGGCGCAAGGGGAAGAGAGTAAACGAACAGAATAGAAAAGTGGGGTCCAGAAAAAGGGGGACAGAAAAGGAAGGACGAAAGAGAAGGGGACCACGTTCATGGGAGAAGGCAACATCGACAGGAAAACGACATTGACAAAGGACAAGGGACAGGCGTCGGAACAAAGGTCAAGAGAGAAGGTGTGGACTCTTTCGGGAAGGCAAGGTCGGCCACACGAATGGGAACAACGCAACTCAAGAGGAGCGACATCGGTGAACAGGTGGAGAATTAAGAGATAACAACAAGGATAATCATCAAAGGTGAAACTTTCCATTCCGCTCTCCTCTTAAGCGAAAGGTAAGTCACACCATCACCCCGGATCTTACCAGCCCTCTCTATCCCCTCCAAGCCCAGCGCGCCAGCTCAAGACTATCTTCAGGAGATTTTGCCGAAATGGGGAAAAGATCGCAGACTCCGCATTGAAGCTCAATAGAAGGTGGAGAAAGGCTTGTGGCAGGCCGTAGCCTCATTAAATCCAATAAAGGGGTGGGGAAATGCTTTCACGGGCAACAAGTACCTCGTTCAATCCCTTCGACACCTTGGAAACATATTACAGTCAGGAAAGGATTGGATAGTTGCTGATACTGTCCAGAGGGAAAGGGTAGGGCCAACCAGAGTAGGAACGACAAAACAATCGATAGCTCACACCCCCAACCCACGTTCCCAGTCCCTAACTTCTTCGCACGAACCGCACCACCACCCCTCAATCTCTCCACAGATCCCCAACCCCACTCATCCCAATCGATCGCTCACACCCCGATCCTTGAAACATCACACGTCCGCGCACCCTCACCCCATACTCCTGATCTCCCCACGCACAAGCAATATCCTCCCCCCCCCTGCATCCACCTCCATATACCCCCACTCACCCTATCGTACGCCCCCCCTAACCCCAGTCACGTTCCTTCCGTCATCATTTATCCTTCCTTACTTATTATCGATTATTACTCATTTTTACTAGTACTATTAGTCGGCATTATTATCTAGTGATTACTTATTAAGTTATTATTACTTATTGAACATTATTGAATACGTATTTTATCAGCCTGATCTTTTACTTCTCTCTCCTCCCCTTCCTCCCCCCCTTGGGCTTCATCCCATACTACCAATCGTCGCCCGCGCCCCCCCTCGTGGCCCCCCATAAGTTACTCCTCACCGACCAACCGATCCCCCCCCACTCGCGCAACTTCTAATGTCCTGAAACAAACCTTCGTCTCCCGACCGATGTTCGCCCAGATCAGACCTTACTCCCACACCCCTGCTGCCGTCCTCGTCGCACATCATTGCAAGAACTACCATTCCCCGCCATAGTTAATTACAATCCTTTTCCCTTGTATCATTGCCATTACTCGTCCCTCCTTTTGCCCCACCACTCCCACTACTAGCAAAACGAGAGGGACCATATCACGAAATACTGACTTTCCGTTATTATTAATTTCAGTAATTTTATGTACCTGACTTTTACTGACATTTTGCCCTCTTTCTAAGACCAAGATTGTTGTTCCACCAACGCATTATTTGGTCACCACTTCCCTCCGGTTCCTTTCTTAGAGTGTCGAATTCACATCATCCCCACAAAGATCAGGGATCTCGTCCAAGGCATGCTCTGCTCACTCAAATGCCATTAAAATCTGCCATGTGTTTGGAGCAGCCTCAATTGTAAAACAAGGATTTCCCGATTGCAAGCCCCTACTTCCATTCCCCTGACCTGCATACAATAAAGTGTAATCATTCTGTATTTGGCTGGACTCATTCGAACGGTATCTACAATTCAAAATCCGATCCCCAAGTGGGGAGGGGAACCTCTGCAGATTGTTTTCCTGCTTCGGACCATAACCCAGATCCCCAGGTGGGGAAGCGAATTGCTGCCAAATTTCATGCAGTCAGCCAGGGAACTGTAGCATCTCGTCCCAGTACCTGGACTCTCGTACTCGGCACCTCTCCTGTTACTGGTAAGAAGCATACCAACCAAAACCAGAATCAGGTTACACTATCCACTGCGCCCTGTGGTTACACTATCCACTGCGCCCTGTGACTCTTACAGCATGGCGAGCACTATGTCCTCAACCTCAGTGTCAATTACAGCAGCGGGCTCAGCAAGCAGAGTGGCGAAGACACTCAACCAAAATGAGCAGGACCCAAACAGGAAGTTATAAATCTGATGGTGAAGGAAACATGGGTCACACCAGTCATTTCCACAGCACTGGTCAAGGATGGAGAAGACGAGGTTGAAGAAGAGGTCTGGGAATACCCCAAGGATCATCTGCCAGTTTTAGACGAATTCTATGAATCACATGCAGTGGTCTGCTCCTTTCCAGCCAAACTGAAACATTGGTCTCCCACGGAAAAGAGGAGGAGAGTACGCGAAGCCCTCAGAAACTTGGAAAACCTGAGAGATACCGAGCCCAAAGTCGCATGCCTGCAGAGAGGCAGGCACGCAATCACGGTGCTTTGTGCGGATCCGGAGTACATAGGCTGGTTCGGACCAATGCAGACAACACGGTTAAATGGAGAAATCTGATGGAGGACATAGGCTGGTTCGGACCAAAAGCCCCAGATATAACATGCCTACAAGAAACACACATCACGAACAGTGATGAGCATAAAAAATTCAAACTAGCTCTAGTAAGAAAGTTAAGACACGTAAAGTCAGCCTTATGGGCCAACGCCACTCCTAGCGGATCAGCAGGGATCGTCATCCTCCTACTCCAGGACTCGATGGCTGGCAACAACATTCAGATCCTAAATGATTGGCAAGACACGTCGGGCGGATGGATAAGATTAGACATTAACTACAAGGAAGAGCAATTATCAGTCTTTGAGATATATGGCCCTAACAACCCTCAAGAAAAAAACACTTTTCTTCATATCTTTGAGAACCTGATCCCCCCCCATAATCACGTAGTCCTAATGGGAGACTGGAAGTCAGTCCAACAACTCTCCCTAGATAGAATCTCTAATGCAGCAGACCCATCCCAACGATCGAACAGCGTAGGATTAATTGATTTCACTACACGAAAAAATCTATTAGATCCATACAGACTCCTCTACCCCGAAAAAAACAATTTTCCTTCATTAGGAAAACCTCACTTTCCAGAATAGACTTTTTCCTCATCACTGAATCCCTAGCAGGCACGATTCTAGACTGTAAAATGGGAAGATCAACCTATCACAACGGTCTTGACCACAAACCTGTCACACTTAATCTCAGGTTCACAAAAACGGGATACCTAGGAAAGAGCTTCTACCGTTTCAACAACGCCCTACTGACCAGTCAGGCCTTCCTTTCGGAATTAAATCACATACTTTCCCAGTCCTACCAGATAGCGGAAGAAGACAACCTTTTCCCCAAAACCATTAAAGACATCAACCTAAAAGTGTTACAAGCTTAAAATAAACTAGGTGCCAAAAGAAACGGAAGGGAAGAGATGTTGAGAAGTGCAATCGAAATGGCAGAATTTAACTTCCAGCATAACACCAATTCATCATTCTTCACAGAACTTCAAAAAAAAATCAAAAGAAGAATTAGCAGATTGGACAAAATTGAAACTCAAAGGCCTTCAAGCTAGAGTAAAAAGATTGGGAACTAAATGAAAAAATTAATAAATATTTTTCTCGAAGAATCAAATCTAATTCCAGGAATGCTAAGATTGAAAGTTTAGCGAACACATATTGTTGGCCCACCTCATAAACCACTCAAACGGTTAAGATAGCTGCTAATTTTTACAAGGATCTATACACCAATAAAACCCCACAGGAAAGGCACAACAAAATCACCAGTACCAGAAACAAATTCCTACCACATTTAGATCGCTCCCTCTCTAAAGAGTCGGCCGACCTGCTTGAGGAACCCATCACTATTGA